GGGAGGCGGAGCTTGCAGTGAGCTGAGATCGTGCATACTGCACTCCAGCCTGGGCGATAAAGCAAGACTTGGTCTCAAAAAATAGAATAAAATAAAAAATAAATTTTCCTTCTAGTTGAAACGAGCTGGGGGCACTGGGGTCTGCAGTGTCTTCCCCCTGTGACACTCTCTGTCCCTCCCACCTCTGCCCAGGCTGAAGGAGCCCTGGCCCAACAGTGACCCCCCCTTCTCCTTCAAGAACGTCATCAGCCTGACAGAAGATGTGGATGAGTTCCGGAATAAACTGCAGGGAGAGAGGATCTCAGGCAACCTGGATGCTCCTGAGGGCGGCTTCGATGCCATCCTGCAGACGGCCGTGTGCACGGTGGGCACTGGGAAGGGCGTTGCCAGCCCAGGTCAGGGGCGAGCACTTCTGGGCAAGGGCCTGAGCTGCCCCCTGGCCTGCTCTGGCGCCAGGCTCACTGGCCCTGCGGAAAGCCTGGGAGCCTGCAACCCCTTCGCCCTAAGACAAGCTCAGACTCTGTGAGTAGGTCTCAGTTACAATCTGAGTTCAGATGTGCCGGGAGCCACAGTCCCCTGGCCTGAGCAGTCACAGCCTGGTTTCGTATCAACTGGGCTTTAGGGTTCTGGAATCTTTAGTACCCTGAACCCACCAGCTGCCCAGTCTCCGCCTGTTCTGGGCATCCAAAGAAGCCATTACCTTTGATATCTACATCCATTTGTTCATTTTTAAAATAACATACTCATATTACTTACGTCAGAAAACAAAAAGCAAGGATCACACCTGTAATCCCAGTACTTTGGGAGGCTGAGGTGGGTGGATTGCTTAAGTCCAGGATTTGAGAGCAGCCTGGGCAACATGGCAAGACCCTGTCTCTGTAGAAAACACAAAAATTAGCTGGATGTGATGCACACCTGTGGCCCCAGCTCCTTGAGGGGCCGCATCCTCGGCTCCTGTTTCTCAGCGTTGTCACTCAGTCATGTGCCGTCACATGCATCTTTCATGAGGGTACTTGCTGTGAATCCAGTGGCTTAAGCCCAGCCCCATGTTGGGACCTGCGTTCCCTGTCCTACGCAACGCCGTGACGCGTGTCAGCTGGCAGCCTGCTGAGTGGGCACACCCTGCCTTGCCTTCCCCAGAGGGACATTGGCTGGCGCCCGGACAGCACCCACCTGCTGGTCTTCTCCACCGAGTCGGCCTTCCACTATGAGGCTGACGGTGCCAATGTGCTGGCTGGCATCATGAACCGCAACGATGAACGGTGCCACCTGGACGCCACGGGCACCTACACCCAGTACAGGACACAGGACTACCCGTCGGTGCCCACCCTGGTGCGCCTGCTCGCCAAGCACAACATCATCCCCATCTTTGCTGTCACCAACTACTCCTACAGCTACTACGAGGTGCGGGGACCGGGCTCCACGGGCGGGAGGTGGTCAAGGCAGGGGGTCCATGGAGCTTCTCAGACACCTCTCCCTTCCTCCCTTCCTCCCTCCCTCCCTTCCTCCCTCCCTCCCTTCCTCCCTTCCTCCCTTCCTCCCTCCCT